TCAGGTCTTAGTGGGAAAAAAGCACATGAGCTCTGCCTAGTGTTTATCCTCTGGAATTACATCTAACGCAGACATGGTGATGCCACGATGGAAGTATTCCCTGCTCATCTACAGTCTAGAGATTTTTTTCTTTGGCAATTTTACTAAGATTCCAATAACACTTTTAACAAACAGCTATGCAAATATTGCTGTTTGAGATTTTATTTTATTTACTAGTTTATTTGATAGGGATAGTGCTCGTTAATGAACATCAGTATAAAATAACAGATGTAAACATGCCAGATTGTAGCAAAGATGCTTGTTTACATCCCTAGTCCCTACACAGGTAACATTATAAATAAATACAATAGACAAATAGAAAAGACATATACTTTAGTGGTGTAGTCTATGTGATACATGGGTATACACCATATACCCACTAAAAAATAATATATAATATAATCACTTAAAAATACCCAAGGCAACATAGTTTGTGACAGAACGTGCACTCCAGCAATTTGTTTTTGTAAAAAACGAGTCGGAAGATCTGACAGTAAACTCAACAAGCATGTGAGGGCATGTGTCCCGCCCACTGCACCATCTGATTGGTTACACGTCACGAGTAACAGCCTATCACGCTGAAGGCTGCTGTGTACGCAGACGGCCACTGACTACAGTGGCTCCGGTTAAAGAGTGGAGCTGTGTGTCGAAGGTAAGACAGCAGACATCACTGACGTTGCAATAAACACCACAGTCCTCTACACTGAAGTTACAACAGCACCACACTCTGATGAACAAGTTCATCTGTTGATGCGAGACACACGGAGCAAGAGAGAGAAGCTAGCGCTAACTGCTAAGCTAAAGTAACTAGCTGATCTGAATAGCATGTAAACAACTGCTGAATTACACTTACTCTGCTCCAGCACTCACTGCTCTCTGCTCTTTTTAGCGACTTTCACTAAAGAACGACGAAGGATCCAAGAGGGGGACCCAACCTATCCCAAGATTCATTGTGCACCGGTAATCAAAGCAAACAACATTGACAGAGAGCCACTTCTAAATGTAAGTATTGTGTGTCAGCTCAGTTGAACAGCTAACGGTTCAACTGTTAAAGCCAAGGGACCTTAAAACCTCAAGTTTTTGTGGAAAAAAAGTTACTTTATGTCAAAGTTTTTAGGCCACATGAGCCGCGCTTTGCTACACAATGGTAATGGCGGGAAAAGCTGGTGACGCACAGCGAAAAAAAACTTCCGTAGACCGAAACGTCTCATTTCGGTTCAGCCTTCGCGGTCTGTGACGGCTGCTAAGGGCCACACCGTCATAGACCGCGTCCTGGATTGGGACACAGCTAGCTACGTTTGTGTGCACCGCAAGTGCATGTAATGACGTCACTCCTTGCAGGTGTGTGTTTAAGGTCCCAACAGAAAGGCAAGCTCCACTGGGAGCGGAGAGGAACAGGGGTCAATCGGCTTTTACTTCTTAAAAAAAAAAAAACCCAAAAAACTTATAATCGCTGATTTTGGTGGAAAATTTTGTAAATTTAAATTTACAGCAGGTAGTTAATCACAGTGATGAAGAAAACAGCGTTAACCGTGTTCAGACAGAGCAGCATTCAACGCTACTAGTAACAGGAACTCCACTAAAAGTCACTTACTACTGTTACTGACAAGAGATTTTACTGCAGGATACACACAGTATACCCACTAAAATAAAACAGACTACACCACTGCTTCTAAATGTCCTCTCTCTCTCGTACCCCTTTTTAAAGGGATTTGTGTATCAGGCAGGTAAAGTCCAACTTTTTGGTTTTAGTTAATTGGTTTGGTTTTGGTTTCTCTGTTTTGTATTTTATGTATCATTTATTTACTTTTTTTTTCTTTAGGATGCCTATGATTTGATTTACTTCATTGGTCCTCTGTTGCTTTTGTATTATCTATTTTAACTCATTAGATCATTACTTTTGGTTGCAATTGAGTCATACAGAGAGGCTTGGATGAAAAAGAACAATAAGTCATCACATTGTTTTAATGGATCATGAAGTGACAATAAAAAAAGAAAAGGACAAAAGAAAAGCTGAGTATGCCGAGTCAAAAGTGACCACAGATGTGGTTTGACTTCAGCCAATGTTTGTGCTCTGTCTTGAAGGTGAAATAAGTAGGACACTCCCTTACTTCAATTATAGGCCATTTTACTATTTACTCAGTTATCTTAGATTATGAAAACAACAACAACCTGTTATTTTTACACTTTATCTTTTATACAGATTAAACAACGAAGGTATAACATGTGAAATAGTCTGATTTAAAAATGGAGGTAGGCTTAAATGTTTGACCAGGCTTGATTCCTCTTGTTTCCAGTCATTATGCTAAGTTATGCTAACATCTCCTGGCTGCGGCTTCATATTTAATGCACAAACATGAGAATGATATCAGTCTTCTCATAGGCAAGACAGAGAGTAAGCATATTCCCAAAATAATTAACCATTATTTTCAAAGTACCGACAGGCACGAAAAGGTCACAGACAGATGTCACAAGATCATTAAAGCGCCTCGACAAGTGACACAACTTCACTTTCCCTGACTCTTGGAGTCACAGAATCAAAGAAGCCAACATGTGGAACAAATCTCTCCTCACTTTATCTCCTTTAACATTCACTCTGTTGGCCTGTTCCCGTCTTAATGGAACAATGGAGCAGCATTACCAGCGGCTCATCCTTGTGATCCTGTCTCCCTGGGGCCCCGGTCCCCTTCCAGTGTTTTGTAAATGTAGGTCGACTGCGCTGTGATTTAGTGGGCCTGTTGTTTGTTTGGATGGGGACTTTCGGTTATGATGAATCTTCCACTCAGGCACTTGAGCATGTTTATTGGTGTAACAGACAACAACTGGAGGCACCTTTCTCATATTCTCTCTTAGCAGCGATGGTAGACAGTAAAGGTGCTGCAGCACACCAGTGGGGACTCGAGCTTTTTCATCCACCGCTTATATGCACATTTTCAATTTTCGCGTGAAAAAACTTGAGTAGAAACACGTTGCTAAAAAATGTTTGGCTGAGGTGAAAAAGTTGGTTTGTCGCAAAAAAACAAAAAACAAACAAAATGCAACAAATTACCAACACCTCTAAAGCTTACCAATTAATGCGTTATACCTCCTGTGTATGTAACCTGAAATCTAAAAGGGAAATTTACAGGGGGTTATGTGCTATGCTACTTATTGGCTTTTAGTTTCCTGGCCAAAAATAGGTGCTTAAAATCAGTAAATGATCCCTTTTACTCTTTAGTTTATTTATGCATTAAACTGTTTTGAGTTTTTATACTAAGCTAAGATAACCAGGTCCTGTCTGCGTAGTTACTGTCCAGACGTGAGTGGCATCAGTTTCTCGTCTAAGTATATGAAAGCAATTCAAACTATTCCTTTACTTTTTTAATCATCTCTATAATATTCCTTAATATCCCTGCAGGGACTTGCTGTGATTTTTCTCCTCCTTACTAAAGAATTACCTTTGTTGTTTGGCAGGCTTTCTAAAGCATCATTTGACATCTCTGCAGGATCTATTGCCTCCCATTGTTTGAAATCCTTACTTTGTTGTACACAGATCAGTTGTGCGATTTATCAAAATATTTATACAGGCACAAGTTCAAATTGCACAAGGCTGCAAGGTAAGGTATTCTGATGTTATGCAGAATGTGTGGCTTGTAAACAATGTGTTTTCAGCAGAGGAAATCATTCATTTTACTCAAACTAAACACCCATCTCATCTTTCAAAAGCTGAGAAAGAAAAATTGTCCTGTTGTATCTCAGCCCATATCTCAACTACAATACTAAGCAAAAAGAAATGGCAATAGGCCTGTGATTTTTTTCTTCTTTGTCAGCACTGTGCAGCCCAGAAGCACCACGGTCCTCGTTCCAATGGATCAACAGACTTCGATAGATTTGTCTCCTTGTCTACATTTCCATCCGCTCGTCCATTTATCCCTCCATTTATTCACCCGTGTGTTGCAGCGTTTTCATCTGAGAAATGACTGAAAGAACAAAAAAAAAAAAAGAAGTGGGGAAAAAGGGCAGGGTGTTTGGAGCAGACTAGAGTCTTATCCTACTGACACAAAAGCTCACTCTGATCCCTGGAATACAATAGAGCTATAGCCCCCTTGCACCCTTGGGGCAGACAGCAAATAATGCCCATAATGCAGCATGTCTGTGACTGCCGGAATCCCCCATGGCCGTACTTGTCCAGCTTGTAGAGGACTGTGCCAGGGACGTGATGCCAGGCAGCAGGCTATAATGCCAACTTATAGATGCCAAATCCTGGCACAAGCCACACGTTATTCTTATTCCCCCTTTCCAACTTGCCTTATGGACAGTGTGGGATGTGTTTGTGCCCTGTTTCGACAGGTCTATATGTACTGTATATACTGTATATACTGTACACACGATCAAACCAGCATTCAGACCTTAGTCTCCTCCATCACACTGGCACTGTGGCATTGTCTGATATTGAGTTATTCAATGCAGCCATGTTTGTCACAACAGTAACGTGGCAGAGCAACTCATGGTGACTTAGATGAAGCAGATACAACAATAACTCCCACAAGTAATTAGTCCCATGATGCAGCTTCCTAAATAAAAGAACAAGGCACAGACGTGCACAGAGACGGCGAGTTCACCGCAACGTTTCCCTCTGCACTCCCCCGAGCTCCCGTCATCTCCTCAAAACAGCTCTGATGAAGGAAAACTGGGAATTTACCCACAGAAAAAAGAAAAGAACAATTACATCTTAGATTCTCCTGAATAATTCATAAGTCGTTGTTTGTGTGGGATGCTGCATGAACATGTGTGTTTGAAAGAAACCGGGCAATCCCTCAGAAACAACACAACTGTGCTAGATTTGTGGCCTTGAAGTTGAGGGCTGGGAATTTAATAAGACTCATAAACAGCTATGGGTTTGTTCTGCTGGGAGAATGTGAAGCTCTACAACGCCACACTGTGGTGAAAACAAAGAAAACCATACTGACATACTAGGTTTTTCTCTTTTATTTCAAATATACAGGGCTATAGCAGCATTTACATCAACATCAAACATAACATTATACTGGCTTACACTTTGGCAGCAATGACAGCTCACACATAACAGCCAGCCAACATATTCATTCTTTACAATGAAAGCTCACAGATAAGCATTACAGCGTGCAAATACAGTATAGGAAAATATACCTGGAGTTAACTGAGGATCATGTGCAGTGGTGTCAGTGCCTTCAAGCATTAAACATCGTCAGCCGGTGCACTTCTAATCTGTCCCAGCTCTAAACCTAGAGGGGTGTGAGATATAATACTTTCATAGCCTTTCATAATGTGTCTGATTCTTCGATGACACAGGAACCCAGGGACTGCGATGTCCCACGGTTGCCCAAGGTTATATTTACTACCTGCCCTTTCTGGCAGGAGGGACCAGTAGTTTCGCCACATTAGGGCATGTGATGAGTGTCCTGTCCACACACCCGCACTGGTCTTCAGGCTGTTTATATAACTTATTTATCACAGTACACTGATGTATTCTTGGCTCTTTACTCTGTAAATACTCCATGGTGACTGTTGGAATAATAAACCAGTTCACCTTTCCCCACACACACACACACACACACTTTCTTCTCAATTTAGAAATACAGAAAAAACGAATAACACCACATCTTTGCCAAGTTTGTTGACTCATGCACACACAGATTTTTTTCTTTTCAAAAAGGAATGATCAGTGCGATTGTCAGTTGCTATCCGACATTCTCAGGCGTAAACAGCCTGTATAACAAACTAAGGCACTCAATTTGGAGACCACTTTAAGTGTAGAAGACTGAAAACACTTGTGTGTTTTTCTCGTGATATTAGAGCCATTTTTACAACAAGCTTATGACTGAAATAAACAAGTGTTTGGGGCTGCTGTTGCATCCAACCATTCTCTCCAATTTCTCGGTCAATAAATCAGGTAATATGGATCTGAGGGGCCAATGTCAGATTTAAATGAGTGGTTAAGCCTAAAGTAGCATTTGTACGACTTTAAAACATCAGATGAGTGTATGCTTGTGTCACAGTCCCTTCCACACTTGCCACAGGCTTTAAGAGACCAAACAGGAATCAGGCAAATTCTCATACAGCCCCTAACATAGGTCTACATGAACTTCCTGTCAGTGGTTCCATAAAGAAACCATCCCCATCCAGCCTTTCCTGGTTTTGGTCCTCTCAGCTCGTCTCAGAGCGTGCGCTCATACTTGTCTCGTCTTCACTCTCATCGTTCTGCCAATCACACATCGATCTTCTTCAGCTGCTCGTAAGTGAGGAAGAACTGGGCGTGGAGTAAAGGAACATAGAAACAAAGGCAGAAAGAGGAATGAGGCACACTGAGATATTTTGGCTCTTCCTGTACTTGAGCTGAAAGCCTCCCTTTTTGCCATCTCCTTGTTACCTCAGTCTGCCCTGCTGTAACAAGTCAATAATCTCATTACATTTTTCAGGCCTGGTTGGAGCATGATGAGTGTGTGTTTTTCCCTCCTCAATCATCTTTAATCAGCTCTTGGCCTTCGCAGAAAGACTCTTATAGAGTTCACTCTCCATTCCCTCCTTTCCTGTCCCCAGCCTTCCCTCTTACCCCCCACCGAGGGGCCCCTCGCATCCTCTCTAACCAGGGGCAGTAGGGTACTGAGGCAGTCGTCTCAAAGTTATATAACAGGGTTAGCTAGCATTAAGCTAAGCTTTCCTCCACTGAAGCATGGCTTGGAATCCTATACGTCACCGAATGCAAAACAACTTACAACTTTTCCCTGCTGATTTCTCTGCCTCAGAAGATATTGCATCACCTAGGATAAATGTAAACAGACTGGTGCACTAATGAGATGGTTCAAGGATACAATGATGTTCCATGGTCCCAGACGCAGCCAGTTGGGAAAGAAACCCTTGTAGAGCGCCATGAAGCCCTCAGAGCGCCACGTCTGAAAAGTAAACAAATGTGTTAAAACGCACTTTATCTTATTATGTCCTGATAATTGCCCAAAAATCCCCTGTGGGTGGGTGGTTCGCTGGGTCTGCAAATTCAGTAACGGTGAGGTTTGATCTAGTCATTTAACATTGCTACGTGATATTGAATTTTCACAGGAAGAAAAAAACAAACGTACGTAATAATAATCTTAAAAATTTTATAAATTACTTGATGAAAACAATTAAAACCAGACAGGGCAAATAAAATGAGACCAAAAGACCCAATTTTAGAGATTATCTTGACTGAACAACACTTTTGATTTGGTCATCAAAACAGAGGTTAGCGTCAATAGGATTTCTCATATGTCTAGACATCAGTTTAAAAGTCCCATCACAATTTCACATGAGGCTTTTTGTGATATTTAAATCTATGGATCCACAGGAAACATGTAATAACTCTGATCAGATGCCAATTTTCTCCTGTCAGGAGTTTTGACTGACCTGCAGTAAACAGTCCAGTGTTCCCTGGTACAGAGCTCCTCCTCTCTGGTTCATCATGCGTGTCCGGACTACATCCACTGGGTTCGAAGCCAAAGCCCCTGCCAGGCCGCACGCAAAGCTGGACCTGGAGGCCACAAAGCACAGGTTCTTTTTTGTTCCTTAATTGCTTCTTTGGTGTTAAACACTAATTGCCATGGTTTGTTCTGCTGCCACGATGTAAAACACATTACTAGCATCAAGTCTGTAACCTAGTACACAACAGTGTATGGGTTGAATAACTATTGTGCATTAGAAATGTTGAAAAGTAGCTCAGTTATAAAGCCTGTGCCATTTTCTCCAAAAAGAAAATATCTCAGAGTACAGATGAATGTCCAAATATCCACACAGAATTTGCTGCTATAAATATACAGACACACACTCACACTGAAGTGAGCTTTTGTTGGCTGAAATACAAATGTGGCATTACTGCACCCCTCCTCTGCATCCAGAAATACAGCGTATTTTGATATGGCTGCTGCTTCCACTGCGGAGTACAGTCTCTATTACAGTACAGCACCTGGCTGTTAATGCTGAATGTGAGCAGCAAAGCAGAAGTGAAAGCAGTTCAAGACTAGGATTTATGATTTAACTGGTAATTTTCAGCAGTGGTAGCAAAAATACTTGTTGGACAAACGAGGGCAGAATTCCTGATTTGTTTACCACATTTCCAATTATAATTTTGTGATTTCAAATATGCTATTGGCCTTTCAAACGGTGTACATGAGTCTTTTTCTGGCCTGGGTCCACCATAAAATATCAAAATATGTCTGACAAGCAATTACCTGCCACTGATAACATCACGAGGAGGTATGAAGGGAATCTGAAGGTTACTTGGTAAACTTACAGGAAGTGTGTGTACACGGTGTCCCCCATGTGACCGGACAGGATCAGATGCTTTTTGGTGATGTCATAGACAGGTAGCTCGACCCCGACCACAATGGCTGCCCGCTGAGCTGTTAGAGAGACACCCTGATGCAGAGAGAGGGGGGAGATTGATAGATTAAAGTTTGGTGTCTGTGCTACCTGAGACCCATGGATACTGAGGTTGTTTATCAATATAAAATATTTTCAGGCTTTCTGTACCTTCCACAGACCCCTTGTCCCCTCCTGTTGGTAGATGTTGATGAAGTTCCCCATCATGCTGCCCTGGATCACATTTCCCTGAGCCTGCATGCGGATCTGGGAGAAAAGATAGAAGTAATGTCCATAAAGTTGAACTTGAGAAAACGAAAGCCTGCAGAACCAGTGTGGAATGCTGTAGGTTCACCAAAGCCAAGCACGGGGGTGTATTAGCCAATCTCCCATTGGAATGCAAAGGCAAAAAACTTAGTAAGGGTTTTTGGCAAGCTCAGCATCCTGAAGCCTTCTCTCTTTCCTTGCTTTGAAGAATTCTGCAGCTCAATCTTTACTTGTTTTCCTTTATAATGGCTGCTGTTTACAGATCAGCTTTGGTTCACTGTCTGGCTCTCTGCTGACTTGGCGGGCGCAGCTAGAACACACCGTGTTGAAAACGCAATGTTCCAAACCTGCAACCCCATCTATTAGTCTGTTAACTCTTAACACACACTGTAATGCTAACAGGGTGTGGCACGCACACATTATAATCACAGCCATATCATTTACAGAACACTATGTTAAGCCTTCAAGGCTTCAGTCTATAAATAATCTACTAGTGGGGTCTTGATAGGACCAAGATGCCCTTCACTCCACTAGGCATGCCACCAAAAGATCACACCTATAGCCTGGGGCTGTTACAGACTTCCTGAGAAAGAAAATATTAATCACTCAGTACCTAGATACACTTCTACTCCAGACTGCGTGGGTAATTATTGCTACATGTATAACAAAATAAAAGAAGACTGTTGTGGTTTTCTGCACGCCCTTGTGCGTGTTAAGAAATTGTCAGACCTGCTCTGCAGCTTTACAGTTCAGTTTCATGAGGACAAAAACACGAGACAATCCTCGTGTGAGCGAAAAAGCTACCTTCAGCACATCAGTAGGGTTGGCGATGGAGGAGGAGATGACACCCGAGAGAACACCACACGCCACATTAGTCAGCAATGTCTCATCTGAAAGTGGAGAAGAGTGGGAAGCAGATTGTAACTGTGAACATGCAGCATTTGATACCATGCAACAAACAGCCAGTTTATCTTTACAGTATTTTACAGTGAACTCTTAGTATGAAAAAAAAATGAGAATACATTTAAATAGGGCATGCACACATCTGTGGCTCCCCTGTGACCTTCGAGAGGAATGTGCATGCGTTGATGGATGGGCGGGACTAGCCCACTGATTTGTGTGTGTATGTGTGTGTCAGGAAGAGAAAAAGAGAAACTGGGACTCACCCTCCGGCCTGTCAACCAGCAGTCGCTTAAAACTCTGGTATGTGCCAATTTTTATGGTCCCATAGGAGGCCTGGCGTAGCATGGCAGGAGCTATTCTGTAAAAGTCAAATATATTTTTATTACCCAATAGTACAATATCTCAGTGTGGTTTAAAAATGTTCAAATGCACTTTATGTCCCAGCCAAAAACAAAAAAAAAACAAATCCCCCAAAAGTCCAAGCACATGAGGACAAATAAGACTTTGAGATGGGATGGGAATGGAGAGGGTTGGGGTAGAAGTAGGTGGGACAATAGCTGTTACAAAAAAAAAGGAACTGTACAATAACAGGAAGTGTAAACAGAAAGAAATACAAAGTGCAGACAAATTATACTCAAACAACTGGTCCAATGCTTCTGCAGTCAGTTCAGAGATTGGAAGCCAAAGATACAGGCACCACAAAACACAGACACGCGCATACCGACCACCATACTGACCCTGAATACAGTGCCCGGGGCCCCTCCTCTCTTCCTATCCGTGCTATAGCGTGGAGCATGCCTCTGTACCGGATCTCTCGGTATTTGCTGTCGCCCACTTGGCCCTGAACTTGAAGACGCGTCTTGGCTAGGTCGATTGGGAATGTCCCTGCAACACAAAGCCCAGGATACAACCTCCTTAAGACTGTACATCACAACGAGGATTTAAATCACCAGCAGTAGTTCACAAAGCTCGGCCTCCTCGCCGCTCCACACATCACTCACCGCATTCCGCCGTCACAGAAGCTAGCCCGCCGAAAACAAAGGGCTTCCAGTTGACGTTAGACATTTTCTCCAGCCGTCTACCGAGTCACACGGCCAAAAGCTTCAGGTGAACCGGCGAGTAGAGGGCACCAATATGAAGTCAGCAGCTAATGCTTTAAAGCTGTAGCTACGTTTCAGTCACTGCCGGCGTTTGAGGAGTCCGGCCCCGCGTCCCTCCTCCTGCCTCAGGTCTTGGAAGAAGCTCCGCCCGTCACTCCCTCAACTGGCCACTGTCATCACTCACCCCGCCCACGTCCTGTTGCTAAGCAACCGAGCCAGACAGTAGAGACGAGCCAAGTGGGAACAAAATAGGCGACAGTGTTACTTTGATTGCATATATCCTCACAAAAAAAAAACCGATTTAATTGCATTGGTAGGCAAATTATTTTAATCAAGGATTCAGTAACCAGAAAAAAAATATAAGAAGTGCCGAAACACATGGAAATGAAGACAAACTAATACATAAATAGGATAAACAATCTGAAACTGTATGCTATTTCCTGTAGATACTAAGTATGTCACTAGGCTAATTATAAATGCGTTAGTTGGGTTCTCAATACATGTTCCATAGGAAATGCCATTTGGAAGTATGCATGTGTTTAATTTTTAAAGTAATAGGCTTTTCATACCTAAGGTTGGGTATATACATGTTTATAATGGCTGTGACATATTTGGTGTCAGCTCCCTCTCCACTGTTGATATCAATACAAAATCCTACATAGCTTTTATGTAATCATCACAAGGCCATAGAGGGCTAACATGAACTTGTATTTATAGTAAATATGAAAGGACCTGAACGTGGTGCATAATATAAACCTGACACCCATGTAAAAGTCTGGAAGAAACTTTTACACTCTCCTCTGCTGCAACATTTGCTGTTATAATCTTAAACTTGGCTTTGCCTTGTTGTCACCACCCATCTGTTACTTTGAAATGTTTTGCTGCAATACCTGACTAGCAAAAGTGTTTGTTTTAGTCTTGGTTTACCCCTCAGATTTTGAATCAGTAATTATCTGGCCCTGTGTTGAAACTATTTTCTCTGTTTAACATTAAGGTGGTTCCATGAAAGTGAGAATTCCTCTTGCCTTCACTCCACGTTTTTCCATTATATAGAACATAAGCCTAGGGTACGGCTAGTCTCACATTTTCACTAGCTCTCTAGAATAGAAACAACCAGGTTCAGCAGAACACAGAGATGAACCTACAAATATAGGTCATATAGTATAATGTCAGCAGTATAAAATATCACTTATTTCCTTTTCAAGAACTCTGTACTCCCATAGGTTAATGGGATGTCTGATCCTGACGAGAAAGTATAACTTTTCTTTTGATAGGTCAGAGGTCACAGATCATCTGGAGTTCAAATGTGTTTCAGTCTATAAATAATGGTGAAAGGCTGGCATGTGGTCGTATCATTGTAAATACTTAACCATATTGGTCTCCACCTGTTAATTACACAACAGTCAACTGACATTAAGTTATTGTTAGGGACCAAGCAATGAGAACTCAGTATTTGTGGGTTTTTTATTTGCTCAATAGATAAAGCAAGAGTATAATAACCAGCCCTGTAAAAGAGGTCAACAAAACATAACTATTCTCAAGATAACAACTAAACAAGGTGTTAACTGAACAAACTGACCCAACACAATGACACGTGAGGGAACATTCTGTACGGCAAAATCGACCAAACCCAAAATCTCCCCCATGAAATGTCAGCACATGGTTCGGCCCAATGAGCTGGATCAAGGATTAAGAGTCCTGGGCCTTCAGCCACGCCTTTTGCTCTATCAGGAAAGGGCCTCCCCCAACAACCACTGTAACTCAAAGACAAAGAAACAATTGATTAATATAACAGCAGATTGCCCATGTAAACCTGCAGTGTTAAAATATGAGTACTCCATATAAAACAATGTAAGGTTAAAAGTAAATAAACTGATTTGAAATCAAACACACTGTGTGACATTTAGGTGTGGTTTACTGCAAATGAAAATAACCTGTGTTGGTAACAAACTAATGAGGTGAAGGTTGGAGTAATTCAGTATTACCCTGTGTGACTGTCTGTGGCTATCGCATTTATCAAGCTTATTTTGTGGATTTAGCAAAATGCAAAACAAAAGTGTAAGATCATCACTTATTACAAACATTGTATTAACATTTTAAAATATGGCCAAATGCAAATATGTGAAAGTCCAAAAATTACATTTGTATTAAAAATCAATCTTTGTAAACCTAATGTAAAACTTATTTTGAAATAGTACTTTGGTCTTATTATTTCATTATATTTAATATTAATTTAATGTTGTAAAACACACAAACCTACACAGCTATTTTGCACACGCCAGATAGTTTTAGTGAATTAATTTCATTGTTGGAAAGCTCCTATTCACAGGATATGATGAACATCTCTGGTGCTAATTAGAAGGGTTGTCGATAAAACACCAGATCAATTTAGCCATCATTAACCTCAGTTGTGTTCCTGTTTTTTAAGAGTATTATGCAGTGCTGTTATAAAAACATCTCCAAATCAAATAGTTGGCTACTGAACTCCAGTAATCACTACAGGGTTATCTATGGAGGTAATTTAGGGCCAGAATGTTTTAAAGCAATAAATAACAAAATGTGAATGTAAAACTAAATAAATAAGAAAATCTAACTGTAAACATAGAACAAGAACACTGAACTGAGAATGAAGAGTGAAAAAAGTTGATTTCAATGGTCTTGTTACCCCTTTAGATTTCATGTTTTGCTTAGTTTTTTTTTTTTTTTGGTTTGCTTTTTGTTACGGATGTTTGCTCATTTGCATTTTTTGTCTCATTGTTGGTTCTCTTGTTTACAGAGTTGGTAGCAGCTAATGCTACCTCTTAATGTCCAAAGTGTAGTAGCTAACGTTGGCCTTAAAAAGCTACTCCATTAGAGCTTTAGTGAGCAGCTAATGTTACTGGTAGTGATGTTACATGAGACATCGAGGCCTCGAAGAGTGTTTTGAGTACAGCTCCGCTTTTCTGTTGAAGTGTGTACCGATGCCTGTATCATTTTAGATAACTGAAGTCTAACTGAACCACATGACTGTTTTTGGTGGTGGTTTGAAGTATGGAGTGACCGCGACATGAGACCTCTGAGACAAATTATATTTAATAGTTTTAGGTTGACACTGATTGGCATTGACTGGTTGTATTTGCAATGCACCCACCAAGGAAAACTAAGACTTACCCAGTTTGACTACACTTTGATCTTATTTCTTCCAATAAAGTATGAGCATAATAGTGTAAATTTATTATAAAAGCTTTATATTTATTGAAAGATATTTTTTCAAGCACATATTGCTTAAAATAAAGATACAATCCTGGTTTCCCGTATACTGATAACTTTGTAATATACAAACATTTGCATTTGCCTATTTTACATTCTGGCCAGTAGATGTCGCTCTGTTAACATGAAGCATCAAGAAATAAACCTTTTCTCAAACCATTTTGCTGGAATAGTTCAGTGCTTCATGAAGCCTCATCTCACCATCACTAGTTCCTGGCACTGTTTAATGCAGCTTAATGCTACTTTGTCCAAGAGTTAGTAGCCAAAGCTAGCCTTGTAACACTGAGAGGTTACAAGGAGCTAATGCTATCTTTGTAATTGTAAGACCCAACTTAATGCAATTTCATTAATCTTTGTTGATCATTCTAATGTTCAACTATTGTTCAATGTATAAACAAATACTCACCAATCAATTACTCAACCATTTCATTGATCTTTGTTGAATATTGAAAATGCTGAACTAAGGTTAAAAAATACAAATAACCAATTAGTAAACCATTAAATAGTGAGGGTTAGGGTTGAATTGTCAAATCTCAAATAATGACCTGTTTAAATGTTAAATTCTCTGTGAACTCTTTGTGGGCAGACTATCCAAATTAACTGTTACAAACTTATTGTATAAATCCGAAAACTCACAGACTAGTGGGTAAAATATGTGATTCATCGTCAAAGTTTATGTGTGTAAAAACCACAGTTCACATACTGTATCTTAAGTATGTATGTGGACCACAGGTCTAAAGAACATATGTGAACGTGGTGAGTGTGAACCCTTTAATTGGATCTAAAAACCATTAAAAAAAAGAAACTTGAAATTCTAAAATAAATGGGTAATAGATCAGTTTAGATCAGTTAGACTCAGTTCTGCTGTAGTTTTATCCCATTGCCACTAGAGGTCAGAACAACACCACTGTAATTTTCAGGACAATTATTGAATGCACTAACTAACGGTCTCTTGTGATGGTGACCCAACCATTTATGTGTTACATATAGACCAATCAATCTCTGCTTAATGAGTGGGCACGGACAGCAGGAAGTCTTTATCTATCTGTAAAGCTAATTAGGAACAGACATATGTTTGAATGACAATGAGAACATGTACAACAGATAGTGATTAACAACATAGGGGTAGTCTACATAGGATTTGTATGGGTGACATGGTTCTCTGAATGTAAGTTGCTCTGCTTGTCAAAACAGAGACTTCCACAGGAAGAATATGTTGCTTGTGTAAATACCTCAGCTTCATCTTATCTGTTTTCTATCAAATTTGTCCTTCTGGTCTCAGCTCCTGTGAAGCAGTGGGTCTGTTCTCCTGACTGCAAGACATTAATCTAGAGCATATTTATTATGATCATATGCTAGTTGCATTGTTTGATTAATGGGTTGGCTATGGGTCAGTGACCTCAGTATGTCCATCAGTACATTATTAACGACCAAGGAGAAAGAGAGGGTGTGTGTATTACTGTGCACGTTTTTGTGCATGCATGTGAGTGTGTGTGGCATGTGCACAGACAAATGCTACGCACGACATCGACAAACGGAAATAGATGACTGGAAATATTGCAGTTTTATCTGAAACCAATAAGCAGGAGGAAGTGTGGTGCACCTGAAAATGGCCACATTTAATGTGGTGATTTGTCAAAGGGACCCTGAGAACAAACCTGGGATAGAAGAGGAGGGGATATATCTGTGTTTGGTGGCGTACAAAATGAGCAAGGAGAATACAGTTGTGCTATTTAGGAGACTGAGAATACATAAGAATACACACATGACTTGTGTGTATAGTCACTGTTGCAATGTATAGGTCTAGAAACAAGGACATGATCTTCAGTTTTAGACGTGTGGAAAAAGCTGTGATGCTTACTAAAATGA